GTAACATCTAAATACCAAACCAATGCGTGGATTTAAGGAACGATTTGATGTTAGAGATTTTGGTGCGTTTTTTATAATTAAGAACTTAGACTTAGGACAAATATATAACACCTTACATTTTGGAATTCCGGGAGAACTGCAAAGAGTGAGAGTATTAGCGCCTTAATATGTGTCAGCAGTTCTCCCCTAGTAGATAATCCCACAGAGTACACCTACACAATCTGTTCTAGAAAAAAAAATCAAAATATGAATATATCCCATATGTACTGCTGGCAATATAACATTCGCACACAGGCAATAGTTTTAAAAGCAGACCTGCACCACATAAATCTTTTAAAGAATATACTAGTATGATCTTCTAAGGAAAACAGTCATTTGGATGAAATTGACACAAAAAGTCAAAAATACATACATTCAACAGGTTCGTTGGTTGGTTTCTGGGCTGATAAGCCCGGCTGGTGCTGGTTTGTTATGAGAGAAAAATACTGTACCATGGCTGATAAGCCCTGGCCGATAAGCACTGACCGAAACCAACAAACAAACAGATTGATTGTTGTTTAGCCGCGAGTCATGACTTGACTTAAAAATAACTTCCAATATGGTGCCGGCTTGTCTAGTATACGAAACAGTTGACACATGAAACAGTAGCACAGACTGCACGGGGATGCTTAACCACTCCATCTGGTCTGTCTTCTATTTATATAAGTTGAAAACAGTGAACATATTATCATTTGAGGTTCAAGACGCTACTATTAACAACACAATACCTTGCCATCAAATACTGTCTCGTTTATTGCTAGTGTAGCATGAGACAGAAAATTGTAAGAAGAAAAATTCAAAGCGTCAACCCCTGATTTCCTTTAAGAAACCTGAATTATTATAAAGCATTGCACACTTTCAAATTCATATCTTCATGCACGCATTAAATAAAGCATAGTCTTGATTCTTGAGCTATCAACAGTAGTAGCTAAAATATGCCAGGCTAAATTCTCTTCTTAATAATACACAAGTAGGCATAGTGTGCAATGTATAGAGTTGAAAACTTTGTTGATGTTCAATACATTTTGGAATATCTGAATTGTAAAAACTTGGCAAATATATGTTAGTTGATCGCACTGCTCTGATGTTTTCTACAGGACATCTGGCCTCACCTGAGAAAGGGCAGGCATATTAGTGATTTTTGGGGCTGTCACACTATATTCTAGTGTCTTTCTATGCACTAGAAGTTTGTTTAAAGAAATAAATGCACCATAAGTTCATCAACTTTTGGTGGTGTGTCATATAGGTCCATTAACTTTTAAACTGCATTTTCGAGTCCTTTAACTTTTTAAGTGGTTCACCGGAGGTCCATACCCCTTCGTTTGGACAATAAATTTGATGTGGCAAGCCATGTAAGCATCCAGCGTGGACTCTGTATCACCTGACATCGCTGAGTGGCCCTTTTTTACGGATATCACCCTCTCCTTTTCTCCCTCTCCCACTTCACCCATAGTTCGGCTCCTCTCCTCGAGTCCCTTGGCGACATGGACAGTGCGTGTGTGGAGGAGCCCAACCACTGCCATGGACAGGGCTGCGAGGAGCACGTAGCCGACGACGAGCAAGGGTGGCGTGGTTGACAGCAACGAACGAGCCCCAAGCCAAGCAAGTTCGAGAGCAACCGTCGCGGACGCTAGGACCGGGCGAGGCTCAAGCCTCGCCCTCGGCTGCTGCGGGCGAACTTGAGCCCCGGCCTGGGACGTCGTTGGGTGGGTCGCGTTTGTTGTGGCGAGGGGCTCCATGGAGGTGGAGGTGGACCTGCCGATGCCGCCGACAAAAGGGGACGCCGGTCACGAAAGCGCGGCGCTCGTGGAGCTGCATGGCAACCTATCTAGGGCCACGAACTCGCTGGTGCACCTCGCGCTCATCTGGTTAAGCCTCTGCGCTGTCCTGGCCAGCTCGGCCAGGCTCACGGATCTCCGCTCGCTCTCCCTCAGCCAGGCCGACGTCACAGACGAGGCGCTCTCCCACCACACGCTGCCGAGGGCGCGCGCAAAGCGGCGTCGGCGGTGGTGCATGCAAAGCGGCACGCTACGAAGCGCGGTGCGCGGCGTGGGCGGTCCGCCGCCAAAGTCGTCTGTGGTCGTGTGGCTGCTTTGCAACAAGTGCGTGAGCGAGTGCAAACGCGGCGCGTCGCGATGATGGCGCGCCTGGGCGGCGATGCTGCGCGACGGTGGTGCGGTGATGGTGTCTCGAGCAGCGTGGCGAGCAAATCGCACGACGACGACGACATGCTTTGACAAGCGCACCATGGGTGTTGGCTTGGTCGTGAACGGGCTCGGTTTAGCACCGGCGTCGAGCGAAGGCCATGTCAAACCCAGCGCAGGCAGCAAGGCTGAGGTTGGTCATGTCGTGGACCCACAAAAAGCAGCGAAGAAATGGCACCTTCAGGGTCGTTTCGCCATCGTGGACGCCATCGCCCGCTGGCACGACTGTGACGGCGGCGGCCAGCAGAGGCTACACGCGCTCGACGCCAACACATCTGCACCATCCTTTTCGTCCGCACCTCTGCATCTTGCCCGCCGGTCGACACCCAGCATGGCTGGCTCAGGCTCGATACGCTGACGCGGTTCCAGTGAGGATCTACCTCTCACTGTTTTGGGACCTCTCCCTGCCGGCGGCGCATGTGGCCTGCTTGCCGCTATCCTACACTGAGCGAAAGAAATTTGGGCGGCGGTGAGCACTAGCATGGAGGGGCAGGAGCGATGCCGGCAAGTGCAAGCATGGATAGCGACAATGGTGGCGCTAGAGGCTGGAGAGAGAGAGAGGGGGGTGACGAGGCCATGGAGGTGCAAGCTAGCCCAACACATGACGGCGCGTGTGCATTAGCAAGGTCGCAGTGGGCATGCATGCGTCCAGGGCGGCCTCATGGCCAGCGGTGGGCACGCTGCTTAACGGCAAAGCCAGCCTTGCCTTTGCCGGTGGGCGTGGCGACTAGGGTGGGTGTCTTGTGGTCTACCACGTGGCGATAGCTGAACATGAAAGAGAAAAACCAGGAAAGGGGCTAATTATAATTTACACGCCACGTTGGCTACTGTGTGGACACGCCACGTCATATGTAAATGCCAAACTAATGGGTATGGACCTCCAGTGAACCATTTAAAAAGTTTAAGGACTCAAAAATACAATTTGAGAGTTGATAGACTTATATGGCACACCATAAAAAATTGATGGACCTACGGCGCATTTATCTCTTGTTTAAATCAAGAATCTTTTGATCTTTCTATTTAATTTCATGTTCCTGTCAGAATGGTGGTATACTGAATAATTCGATAGCATCTCATACTATGATAATGAAACATTTTCTTAAATTCTAGCTACACCTAGGGCCTGTTTGCTTACATGAGATAATTGCTAGCTAACTAAAAATTAGCTTTAGTGCATTCAAAGAAGAGAGCTGCTAATATGTGGGCTAATTTTTTAATCAAGCCTTTAAATAGTTGTTAGTCAACTAGCTAGCCGACCATAGTTAATTTAGACTAATTTTAACCCAACTAGTAACTAGCTATGGCCCCGTTTGGCTTGCTGAAACTTGACTGAATTGGCTAAAAAACACTGTTCTGGCTGAATTGTTGTGAGAGAAAAACACTGTTCCGACTGAAAAAACAAGCTGAATAGTGTGGATTATAAGGTAAGCCGAACGGGCCTATGTATATCAAACAGGCCCTTGTTCATATTGATAGCAGGTACAGCCTTGATAAGTCAATTAATAATTACTGCAGCTTATCCTGCTACACAGGTCTATATAAAGGACCAAAAAGGACATGACTCAGATGACTATGGCTTGCTGTTTTTTTTTATATATCTGGGCACTATTTGCCTGTTGATTCAGTTTTCCATAGAAAAAAACGAAGCTAAAAAACACAGATTCTATAGACTACTGATGCGACTCTGTGCAGTATATGAACTGACAACAGCAAACGGTTAGAAACACCATGTTACTCAATCCGCTGCAATGGACCTAACTAATCATCAATCCAAGGACACAAGGGATCGCCAACAATAAACATAGCAAAGGCAAGTTGCAATTTTTATAATCCAAGTAAACAGTGTGACTTATCGAAGACAAAATAGAATAAGATGCTAGTACCCGTAAAAAATAAAGTTTTTGAAAGGTTGGGTTGGCAAAATAAAAAAATCCCACACCGATAGAAGATCGCAAGGAATTGAGAACAATCTGAAAACGCGGAGGCATGGGGTGGAACTTCACGGCAAAACATTTAAAAGTGAACGTTCGAGAGCGCCGGACAGATGAAAACCAATTAACAAAAGGGTGGAATTCGCTAAATCGGAGTAAATAACTTTGATTAGTAGTCTATATTTAACAACTTTGATAAATTTATATTAAAAATATTAATACTTACATAATTGGTATCATTGGATAGATATTTAAATCTAGTTTTTTAATAAATTTATTTGAAAATAGAAATGTTGTAGCACATTTTTCATAAATCGAATCAAAGCTATTGACACACAAATCGTGACGATGAACATCTAGAGACAGAGGGAGTACAATAGTATGGTTAAACACCACACTGTGGGCATGTTCGGATAATAGAGCTAATTAGTAGTCTATACCTATTAATAAAAATGTAAAATTTCAACCTCTTTCTGGGTGCCTTGTTTTCTAATAAAAAGGCAAAGTTTCAGTTTTTTTTTTTGTCTGGGCCGTTTTTCGTCTGGCGCATTCATTGGGCCAACTGTTCGGCCCACTCCCTCCACCCCGCTACAGCACCGTCGCTCGCCCAGTCTTCACCCCGTTCGCCTAAGCTCTTTCCCGTCGCCGACCCGACCCTTCCCTCGCCGGGCGCCGCTTCTCCGCCTCCGCCTCCGCCTCCGCCAGCGCCATGGCCGGCTAGCCCTTGCCGCGCGGCCGTCCACGTCGAGGCCCCGGCTCGACGCGCCGGCCCCGCCCCCGCCCCGCGCGCCTCCCCGCCGGCCCCGCCGCCACGGCTGGATCCGCCATGGCCGTCGTGTGCACTTCCTCCTCTGGCCGCGTCCGCCATATGGCTGAGGCTGGCCCCGAGCCCTGGCCGCGCGAGCTCCGGTGGCTGGTCGTGAGCCCTGGCTGTGGGAGCCCGGCCACGCCCGTGCTCGTCTCTCCGAACGGCGCCAGGAATTTCTCCCGTCCTTCTCCAGTACTCCTCTCTCTTCGAGCTGCGCCAGGGCTCCCGTCGCTCCGTTATGCCGAGGAAATTGGAAGTCAGAACGGAATCGGCCCGGTCATGATGATGGTGTTCGAGAAAGGTTTCCCTCTTTTCCGTCTTTTCCTCTTCCCTCCTTTCCCTATTATTAATATTAATAGCTCACGAATCTTCGCCGGACGCTGCCTGCAGGCGCGAAGCACAGCAGACGCCCAGTCCAACCCAGCAGAAAGCTGCCAAAACACTGCCGCAACCACGAACGGACCTACGGTTTGGAACACAGGAAGGGGATTTTGAGTCGGAAGGTGACAGTGAAGCGCCGTCACGAGCCGACGGGAATCACGCACGCGACGGGGCTCAGCCGCGATGCATCTTGGAGTGATGGGAGTCCTAGCAACTGCATCTCATACCATCTCCATTGGAACTCTCTTTTCTGTTTTCTACAAACCCAGGTCTGAATTATTTTATTTTAAACCTTCCTTCTTGGAATCCTTTCTTAACTCAAGGCAACATCTTCTGTTGGGGTGTACTATATTTTGTACATGAACTAACTGTGCTGTGATCAAGTATTTATTTTCCTGCGTGGTGGCTTTGATGCCTATCCAACTTCACACATGAGACAATTTTCTTTGTTCACATGAGTTGTGTTGTTTGGCATGTAGAAATCTGTGCTGTTTGTAAACTTGTACTTCTAAAACTTACATTTCAATCTAATTTGGTCCACAGAACAAGTCGATCAGAGTTTGTCGTTAGTGTAAACAAGTACCTTGAGGCTAAGAATCACAAGATGTCTTTTGGTATGAGGTCTAAAATGAGATTTGAGGGTGATGAATCTCCTGAAAAAAGGTATTCTACATTTTATATTCCATATAAATTGATATTTCGTCATAGATTTCAGTGGTGTGCCTATCATAACCTTCTTCCTTAATGGTTTACAGATTCAGTGGGACAATTATTGGTCTAGGAAGCATGCCAGTTAACATCTCCATGGGCTAACTCTGATTGGAGATCTTTGAAGGTAATCAATATTTTTCTATTTGTGGACATAATTCCGCTTTTAGTTTGCATTTGCCTCTGAAATTTTTGTTACCGATATATGTTTTCCAAGACCTCAAGCCATGCTCTCACTTCTGACAGGTCCGATGGGATGAGCCTTCTGCTATTCTGCGTCCAGATAGAGTTTCACCATGGGAACTAGAACCCCTTGATGCAACTAATCGACAACCACCCCAACCTCCTTTACAGAATAAGCATGCACGGTCTCCTGCTTCACCTTCTATTGCTCTAGAGCTTTCTCCAGTTTTTGGTATGTGGTTGCTAAGCTGTTCTGCCAAATTATCCCTCTGCTTATGACAATGATACTTACAATAGGGACAGAGACCTTCAGCCTGTTCGGCTGGGGCTGAAACGATCGTATACGATCGTGGATTATTACTGCTGGCTGGCTTGGTGTGAGAGAAAAATACTGTTCTGGCTGGAAATTTACGATCGTTTACGACCAAACGAACAGGCCGCTTATGTTTACTACTGTTGTGTTCACATATTGGCTGGCGCAGGCCTAATATCTTGATTGTCTTCTTTGCCATCTTAGGTTTCTGGAAATTCCAAGCTGAGCCTGCACAAGCTTTCTCATTTTCAGGACCGCAACGAACTCAGGAGTTATACCATTCAAACCCCAATTCAATCTTCTCATCATCGTTGAATGTAGGATTCAATTCAAAGAATGAGCGTTCTACGCCAAACAACAATCATTTGTACTGGACAATGAGAGAGACAATAACTAGATCCTACTATGCTAGCATTAACAAAGATCCTACTGAAAAGAAGCAAGAGTATGCTACTTCTGGCTGTAGATTGTTTGGTCTTGATATAGATTCTGCAGTATCACCAATGGTTACTGCATTATCCACCTGATGTGTGGTCGCCCGCGCTCAACTCTGGCATCCAAGTAGGGCTCGATTTTGGTGGCTGATTTCTCTCGAGACCTAGCGCCCGCTCAGATCTGGTGTCCAGGGTGGAGCGTCCTAGCAGATCTATCATCTTTGGGGAATTTCTTTTCTGGGTGATTTTGCTAGGGCCCGATCAGATCAGGCTTAATTGATCGGTCAACGATTACAGTCAAAGATCTTGTAGGTGATTCAGATGGAGGAGAAAGTAGAGAGGGCGCTGACAATGAAGCGCTACAGACGCGTCGCGGCAAAGAGTGGGGCGACGTGGTTGGCTGTCGGCTGTCGAGGCGAAGCACGCGGCAGCAGGCATGTCTGTATGTTTTTCTACCAGACGCTGCTGCACAACGTCGTGAGGACTGAGAAATCGATTCCACTGGTGGCCACCAGTGGGATGAGCTAGGTCGATGTGGTCAAACGTTTTTCTTCACGTTGCATGCAGATTCTTTTGTTTGAATAATTTTTCTTAACTTTTTTCAGAGCTGTGTGGTTTGAGCTGCGTAGGGTAATAGCACTGAACGACCATGCTTCATGTTACCTTCACTGCTTACCTCAATAATGAAGATGCAGTGTGATTATTTTTGTTGGTTAAATAATTTCATCTTAATTCCTTGCCTGAATCTGTATTATTAGCATACATACGTCTGTTTTCTTCGGAGCTGATAATTAGTTCGTCTGTTTTCTTCGGAGCTGATAATTAGTTTGGTTCAATTTCTAATTTGGCAATTAGTATTTGGTATTTGCCTGTGAACGATGTTTGTCAATGTATAATGATGCGATAAGCTGTTATATTATTATATGTGCATGGGCAAGTTACTAGCTAGATGTGATGTTATATTTTAATTACAACAGATTCAACAAGGTAAATATATGTTCCTTAAAACACTAGGTGACTGCAAATTGTGATTTTTTAACCGTAGCAACGTAAGGGCATATTTTCTAGTTAGCTGAGCTAATTTATTAGCTAAGCATCCAACTAGTTGTTAACTGATTAGCTAGTCAAACTCAACCAATTTAAGTTAATTTTTAACTCAACTAGTAACTAGCCCTAACTCATCCAAACATGCTCTATATGTAAAGAAATACGTTTGGTTACTTCAGCTCCTTTTTGTCATGACTAATTTTATTTTAGCTTATTTTTGGCATCTCCTTTGGTGTGTTTTACCAAACTTCCCATTACCCATAAATTACCTCATAATTAAACTCATGGGGCAAATAAACAAGCCATTAGTGTTGTTGAGATGGATGAAGCAGAGAAAAAATAAACATTTTGATGTTTTTTCCTGCATCCTAAATATTTTAGCAAATTCTGCCCTTTCTAGTAAAGGAGACAAATCAAAGACTATGAAACTTAACGTCAAACAACCTTATGGAATAGAGTTGGCCAAATAACCCAATTTACAAACTCTGCGGATTAGAACCGAAAACACCTCAACATCTTTGTAAGGTCTGCACCTACTCCAATGAAACTTGGGCAATACTACAAGCTGGTGTGGCATGTCTAGTATTCATAATGTCAGACAAACTGGATCAATCTACAAGTACTGACGCATATGTCGATCTACTTTTGGTGGCACATGTGGAAGGAGCATAACAGAAAAACCTTCCAGCAAATACAGGTGCCCCCAAGACAAGTCGCTAGCATGTGCAAATTAAAGATGACATATCTCAATATATTACGGCCACACAAGCTGTCCACATATCATCTTATGAAGTAGTGGGTGTTAGTTGTGAATCTAGTCTTTTTGTTAATAGTCTGGTGGTGTTGACAAAAGATGCTCGGCAGTCATCTGAAGGGTATTCCACGAAGGTAGATTGATCGATGGAGGTGCGCGTGATCAGGAACAGGATGGTGACACAAGGCGCAGAGACAGCGATTTAGACAGGTTCAGGCCGTCTGATCGACGTAATACCATACGTCATGTGTCTTTGGTATATTGTATTAAATATGAGATATACGTAGATGTCGACTAGGGGACCCCTGCCTCTCCTTATATACTCTGGAGGGGTATGGTTACAAGGAAAATATCCTATTTGGTACTATACAATATCTTGCGGTGCACGTCGACTAGTGCCGTGCACGTCTTGATCTTGTAGGCTGGGCCACCTCTGATGGTGCGGCACATGTCTTGTCTTATGGATATCGGGGGTCATATCACTCACAGCTAGTCCCCGAGCGTCTTGTATCTTTTGAGCAACACCGTCTTGAGCCTGTCCGAGCTATCCAACTTGCTGCTGATCATCAGGAACAGGTGTCCAACCAGTTTGACTGGGAGCCGAGCTGTTGAAGCGAGTATCCGAGCAGTTGAACAGACGTCCGAGCAGTTGAACAGGCGTCTGAGCAGTTGAACTGTTGTCCGAGCAGTTCAACTGTGAGCAAGCCCAGACTTACTCGAAGCTGAGGTTTGCTAGAAGGATGTAAGGGGCTCAAGATAAAATTTAAAAATTCTTCCACTTAGGAGAAGTGTAGCCACTTAGACTCCGTCAATAAGGAGGGTAAATCAAGAAATAAGCACTACTTCACCGCTAGGTGAAGTGTAGCCACTTAGTCCCCGAACCTGTTGGAAGATGAAGAATGAATCTTATAGCAGGGTCAAAGAAAAGAAGTCTAGAAGCTTGCCGACGTCATCTGACATGTGCGTATCAAGACCCCAGACATGCTGCCCAAGATCAGCACTGTCGGTGCAGAAAATGACCAACACGTAAATACTTATAGTTTTGCCGTTCACTGTGATCAGATGTGGCCTAGCACTCAATGACACATAGTTTATACTGGTTCAGGCAACGTGCCCTATGTCCAGTTTAAGTCGGTCGGTGACTTTTATTTCTGAGCCTAGGTGCTCGAAGTTTGTTGTGGGGTTACAAACGGAAGGGAGAAAGATGGGGGGTACAAGAGGTCTGGTCGGACTCTGGTCTAAAGGGCCGAGAGTGACGGGAGCTCCGCTATGTGCTAAGTGTTCGAACATTTGTTGTTCGTTGGGATCTTTGGTCGTTCGGATCGTGTGTGTTGTTTGAGTTATTGTGGACTGATTCCCCTTCTTTGGGAGAGAGCGCATCCCCTTTTATAGATGAAGGGGATGGCCTTACAAGTGAGAGAGAGTGTACGTATGCTAAGTCTTGTTGCCCACGCCGTCGGGTACAAGATGATTGTAGGCGTCCATAACACTGTTAATGTCAGATGCATGTGGGAGGTTTGCGTCGTCTTCTTCTGGTACGGCAGACATCGGTGCCTGCCATACTGTTGATGCCCAGAGGCATGCAAGGGGTTTTACCGTGCTCGTCTGGTATGGGAGTTTTGCGGGCGCACACAACACTGTAGGGCAAATGTCAGTGCCCACAACATTGCTTGGGTTCTGACATGCCTGGAAGGTTGCAGGGCACTCTTCTGACATGTCCTGTCGGTACTGTCCTATAGGTGTATAGGGTACGGTGCTCGGTATTGCGGTTGACTTGAGTGCCCTGCCTTACTTGCTCCGTCCATTTCCTGGTCCTCACCGAGCAGGCGTCCCTGGTCGGTTGGTCCCAGTTGGCTCCGACTGCGCCAGTCGAAGAAGAGCTGTAAGCAGGGGTTCGGTGTGTCCCCGATCGGAGATGTGGGTCGGAGTTCGAAAGCGGTGTTTGGCCAGGCCTTTCGGTCGGAGAGGCGGGCCAGAGTCGGAAGCGAGCGTTGTTCCTCCTCGACCAGGCCTTCCGATCGGAGAGGCGGGCCGTAGTCGGAAGCGAGCGTTGTTCCTCCTTGGTTAGGCCTTCCGATCGGAGAGGCGGGCCAAAGATCGAAAGCGAGCGTTGTTCCTCCTTAGCGAGGCCTTCCGGTCGGAGATTGCATCGCCCTTCTGGCCCATAGTGTAGGTATGTGGGCCAGTCCAGGAGTTTGCGCGTCGTTTGCAACGTCGTCTGCTGTGCTGAGCTTTTGCTGGGAAGCCAGTACATGAGGGACCTCGGGTTTATGAACCCGACAGGAGCCCCCGAGCCCCCGGGCGATTCAGGTAGAATCGTTTGGGGGATTTTTGTCTTGACGATGGGTGCGCGCGAGCGCACCCCCGGGCGATTCGGGTAGAATCGTCTAGGGTTTTTTCGTGTTGACGGCGGGTGCGCGCGAGCGCACCCGTGGGTGTAGCCCCTGAGCCTCCGGGCGATTCGGGTAGAATCATCTAAGGGGGGTTTCGTGTTGCCAGCGGGAGAAGTTTTGTTTTGTCAGCGGGTGGTGCGAGCGCACCTGCGGGTGTGAGTGTGTGCACTTTGGTGGGCATAGCCTCCCTTTTCTAGTTTCTGGCCCATCGTTTCTAGGAGCGTGGTCCTAGGCGTTTGGTCACGGCCGAGGGACTAGGCGAGACAGAGTTTCATCTGTCGGGGCGTCAGTCGTGCCGAGGGTTCGGGCGAATTAGAGTTGCGGATCCGAGGATCAGGCGAGTTAGAGTCGCTAACCAAGGCATCGGGCATGCCAAGGGATCGGACGAGATGGACTCGCGGATCCAGGCGTCGGGCGCGCCGGGGGATCGGGCGAGTCAGAGTCGCGGATCCAGACTCGGGCGTGCCATGGGATCGAGCGAGTTGGAGTCGTGGACCCAGGCGCAGCCGAGGCGTTTGGGTGTCTTGAGCCCCTGAGCCCCGTTGGGCTTGGTAGGGGTCGGTTGAGTTTTGTGTGTTACCCCTTCCGTAGTTTCTCGCAACCGGAGGGGCTGAGCTAACGTTGCTTGCCTTGATGGCTTGAGTGACGCTCTCGGTGAGCTCGCTAACGGGTACGTTCGAGTGAAATCTGGGTTTGTCGTTCATGACGGGGTCAGTATAGCCCTCATGTGGCATTCCACTGCTCCTTAACCTGCAACCCGGCAGATACCTAGGTTGTTCCGAAGACCAGCCCAGGTGGCCCGCTGGCCTCCCCTCGATGGAGATTCTGTGGGTTTGGCTCGAGGTTAGGATCGAACGAGAAGGTTGAGATGACCCTGTCTGCTTCGGGACAGACTGGGCGAGGGCCGCTCGGGGCTCATTTGTGTTTTCTCCCCTAGCTCTGTTTGACGCGAAGCGGCCTCGAGCCCTTCGTGGGCCGGCCTTCGAACCCCGATCGATCGTTGCTCATGTTGAATGAGACAACTGCCGCTTCGTGACGCAACACGGAGCGTTGTGATGCATTTAACTACATATGCGATGCTTTTGGATGTATGGAATGAATGAATGCGTGCATGGATGAATGAATGTTCATATAAAGAAATAGTGGGGGTTGGTAATGTTATCTTGATGACTCGAGTGACAGAGTTTGAGGAGCTTCAATCGGATATGTTCGACCGGGATCTGCGCTCGTCGTTCGTGATGGAGTCGGCATGGCCCACATGGGGCGTCCCTCTACTCCTTACCTGTCTCTCGGTGTTCGCCTGGGCCGTCCGATTGACTCAAGAAGCCCGTTGGTCTCTCCTGGCGGAGATCCCATCGTTGGGCCTCTCCAAGTCCCGCCTAGGAAGACAGAGGGCAACCTACGCGCAGTGGCGCCTTGTTTCTTGCGCCCGGCGTGCGGTAATGGTGGGGCATACCTAGGCCACATCCCGTCTGACCAGGCGCTGTTTCGTCGGGTAGGGTGCGTCCCATCGGTCAGGACGTGTCCCATCGTATCCTATCCGCATTGAATCGGGGAAGGGAGAGGGGTTTTCGCCCCTGTCGTTTCGCCTTTCCCCAATCGCTGCGCATTTTCCCAACTGTTGTGCCTCTTTCTTAAGTCGGGGAAGGGAGAGGGCTTTCGTTCCATTCCTTCGCCTATTCCTTATCTGCCGCCTCTTCTCCTTCTTCCTTCTCGCCAAGAGCGTTTGAGTGTCGCGGCGGTTCCTAGGAGAGAAAAGGGGAGAGCGAGGGAGAGGAGAAAACTCACAGATCCATTTGCGAACCCAGAGCGCAATCAAGCTGGAGGTCAATCCGTCGTGAGGGAGTCGGTGCGGGCTGCGTTCGCCGAGAAGGGGTTTCTGGCGCCGAAGGAGGTGGCGCACTAGAGGTACATTATAGGTTCTGGTCATCCAGACCACATTACAAGTTTGCAGACCACAAAATAAAGTATCTAGTTTCCAGACCACATTACAGGGTCTGACATCATCAAACCACATTAAATCCTGGAACAACAAAATAACACAAAAACAGAGCTCAAGCAAGGTTAAGTCTCTTTTTGCTTCTAGTTCCCATCGCTGGACTGGATGGTGAAGTTTGCACCTTGCTCCTAGTTCCCATTGCTGGGCTGGATGGTGAAATGTGGACATGTGCACCTCTTTTCTTCATCCCATCTTTCGCATTAGTTTTCTTCACCATAGCTGCACAACAAATTAACATAGTACTATTTTGGATAGTCAAGTCACCTGTCTGCCTCCATTGCAGCAATATCTGCCGGATCACCATTTTTGCAAGTGTACTAGTGATGCCCATACTCATGGCAGATTGGGCACTCATGTATACCTTTCTTGCCTTTGCTGCCCCCTCCTCCTTCAACTGCTCCCTTGCACCTATTTTTCTTTCTTCTACCAGTAGTAGACTTGAGGAGTGGAGGATGCATGAAGAAACCATGTGTTGCTTTTGGCCACATTGTCTTGTCAGGTATTGATGGGATGACACCATCATATGCAAGCACAAACTTCTTGACAGAATAGTAATCATCAACATGGTCTTCAAGCTTTTCTCCTAGGATAGAAGTGATGAAAGCAATGGCATGTTTGCAAGGTAGCCCTGACACATGCCAAGTCCTGCAGGAACATGTCCTCTCAGCTAAATTCACTACAGACCTATAACCACTCCCTCCCTTGGCACAAACTTTTGCAATACCATCTGAGTGTGTGATCACATCAATATCAAGGTTGAAGCTTTGCTCCCTCAGTTTTGCCACAATGTGTGGGAGAATCTTGGCTGCCATCTTCCTTGCTATTTTTCTTCTATGGTTCCACTTGATCATGATCTTCTGTCTTATTGTATCCATCAAGTCATCCAGGTGTTTCACCTTGTCACCCTTGATCCAGTTGTTGAAGCTTTCAGCCAAATTATTTGTGACATAGTCCACTATGGAGTTCGTGGAAAACTGACTCCTAGTCCATAGCTTCTTGTGGTTTTGCTGCAAGCATTGCATTGCTTCTGGTTTGGCTGCAGCCATGGCTCCATAATGCTTTTCAAACATGTATTGGTTCCAAGAATAAGCAGAAGCCCATAAATGATCATCAAAAACCTTACCACTAAATCTTTTCTTAAAATTCTGAACTAGATGCCACATACATTCCCTATGTTCTGCAAATGGAAAGGCCTCACTAACACCTGACATTACTACCTACCCACAATCAGTGCAAAATGTGAGACCAGGGGGGCTTCCTATAGCTTCTTTTAGTCTTTCCATAAACCATTATCAATTCTCATTAGTCTCTGAATCTTTTACACCTACAACAACTGGGTACATCCAGTTATTTCCATCTACTGCACAAGCAATGCATAACTGTTCTCTGAACTTTCCTATTAAAAATGTACTATCTACTACCAAATAGGGCCTACAACCTTGGAGGAATCCATCAACACAATGTTTCAATTCAAAAAAGAGCCTACTAAACCTTATCTTATTGTTGATGGTATGGTGATCAATTACTACAAAGCTTCCAAGACAACATAAGTCAATCTGTGCCTTAAACCTATACAAATTGTCAAAACTTTCTTTCTAAGGACCATAAAGCTAATCCAGAGCAAGATTTTTACCATAGTAGACTCTCTTGTAGTGCACCATCACTTTGTAACCATCCTTCAACCTTCTCTGAAACTCCTTGGCACCCACGGTTGCATCTTCCTTAAGCAATCAATAACCTTTTCACAGACCCAATACTTGGTAGCTCCTTTAACCTTGCCAACTCTTCTGGTGCTATGGCATGTATGAGGAGATAGGTTCTTCTTCACCTACAAAGATATATACCCATACTCATAATTAAAGAAAAAGACACAAAATCAATAAAAATGACTACGATAGATGCATTTGATTACCTTAACTGTGACATTATCACCCATTGTTGAGGCATGAATTCTCCACTTGCAGCCCTCAGCCTTCCCAATACAGTTAACCCTGTACCTCCCTGGACCACTCTTCTCAATGTCATATTCAAACTCATGCTTGATGGCATGTGAAGCTAAAGCCAATCTAAAAACAGACATGCTTGGATAGATACTGCCTACTAACATAGGTGGGTCATCTTTGTCATGGTCTACTTCTGTGATATGAGAAGGCACCTTATCTTCTACTATGTCATCTACCTCATAATCATCATCACAGTCTGAGTCAGATTCAGAGTCTGCCCCAGGATGGTAATCTTCATCTCTATCAGCATTTCTGTTCACATTGGGCTGTTGTTGCATATCTATGTCAATGTACAACCCCTTCTCATCCACACCAACATGTTCATTGCCTGGTTTAGGATTCACAAGGTACTTGTCCACACCCTCTTCTTCAAACTGGTAAGATTCAGTTTGGTGAAGATTGGGATGCTGGCAATGATTGCTAGGTTCAGTAACATTGGTTGATGTCTGGCCTGGGTCTATTTGGCTTGGAGCTGCTAATGAGGGTGTGCAGAGGATTTGTACTGATCCTTAGTGCTACTGTCCCAAGATGGGATGCTAGGTTCTCTCTATCAGGACTAAAGTAAGCAACTGACATCAAACAACACTTAGTATCCTTATGTTTTCTAAACATCTGAACTAACTCTTGGTCATAACTGATTTCAATGTTGGTCTTACTGTCAGCACAGAAGTAGAAGACCTTAGCTACATCACCATAACTACACGGATACTTGTCCAGAATCTCATCAACAAAGTCTTTGAAATTTGTAATGTCAGCATCGACAACTTTGTTAATAGAAAAACACCGTGCACGCGATTTGAAAGAAATTATTCTTATTTTTAGGTTGTAGCTAGTCTTTAGGTCCATCCTACAGATGGACAACAACGAGTTTATGTACATCTACTAACAATACAACGGAACAAGAACCATTCCAATAGAAAAAAAATCACCCTACTGGGAGCCAGACCGGAGGGACGCCCCCTCCGTTGTCCGCCATTCCTCCTCCTTGTCCGGTCCAATCCGCCCCCAAAACTTAGATCCACCCTCCTCCTACCCCATGTGAAGAGAGATAAGGGGGGATATGCTTGGTTTCTTCCCTACCGCCGCCGCCGCTAGGGTTTTGGTGAGGAGCAGAGAGAGCTCGAGTGAAAGGGAAGAGAGACAGAGAGATTTCGAGTCAGTCAACGGAGTGAGAGAGACAAGAGAGTTAAGCCCAGAGATGGAGGGGTACCATGGACATTTGCACTCCTCGGACCCACTTGACAGAGCCGAATCCCATTAAAACGAGGACAAAAGCAACGGCCGTGGCACTGAAGAAATAAAAGTTTAGAGTTATGTCCTGAAAGTCTGCGAATCTTTTTTAATGTCATGCTAGGAATTGCCATCTTTTATCAGCCTGTTCGGAGAGGCCGTATCGTATCGTGAATTATTTACTGCTGACTGGTTTGGTGTGAGAGAAAAACACTGTTTCCGACTGGAAATTTACGATCGTTTACGAGACAGCGAACAGGCGGATAATGGCCGAGAAGTAAAAGACTCCCATTTTCCCCTTCCCTTTTCACCCGACCTCTCTCGAACACACACCACCCGGCTTGACGACGCTTAAACCCTAGCGGCAGCTGCGGCCTGCGGGAGGCCGCTGCGCCGCGCCCGCCCCGTCGCCGATGTGGAACGGCGCGCCACCTCCGCCGCCGCCGCATATGGCGGCGGCCCCGCCTCCCCCTGGCACGACGGTGCCCGGGGCAGGCCAGCCCCCGCCCCCGCCCCCGCCGGCCGGGGCGCCGCAGAGCGGCAAGCCGCTGACGCCGGCGGAGCTGGAGGCCCAGCTGGTGGAGAAGGCCCGCAAGTGGCACCAGCTCAACTCCAAGCGCTACGGCGACAAGCGCAAGTTCGGGTTCGTCGAGGCGCAGAAGGAGGACATGCCCCCTGAGCACGTCCGCAAAATCATTAGGTAACTTCCAGATCCGCCCTGCCCCTTGATGTTTTAGGCTTTACTAGATATGGTTTTAGGCGTTTATGTAGTTGTGCGTTTATGTAGTTGTGCGTAGCTTTGAACTGATTGGGTAGGCTGGCCTCTCGCTTGGTGGTACATGTTACACGAGTAGAGAATCTGATGTTCTTACCGACTACAGCTGCTAGGGCAGTATCCAGGTTTTGCTTTAACCATGTTTTGATATACTTGGCTATGCACACATTCACCCTTCCTTGTGTTGTTTTGTGATACATAAGTTGGCTTGAGTCCCAATTTATGTCTATTTTGATGATGTAGGGCATGGTAGTGATATGGTAGTAACTTTAGCTGTTTTGGTTTGTGACGCAGCGCTAGCTTTAGATCACCATCTCAAGTTATGGGATCATCTTTTTGATTTCGTTGTCACTGCAGGCATCCGCAGATGATTATAGTTAAGCTAGCCAATTCATCGTTGCTTTTGGTGTATCAATTTCTGTTTGTTGTTTATTTATACCTTCTCTTGGAAAATCTGAAGTATTATTTTTAGAAATTTTCTGTGACACGAGTCAATGTTTGGAAGTTAATTATCCTTGAGTAAGTTTGAGTTCAGTTTTGACCGATGACTGGAGAAGCAACTCTATTAATGAGTTCAGCAGATTTAAGAATGAGATTCTATATAGGCAGTTGAAAGGTTATGCACTTCTGTTTGTGTGGGATTCTTAGGGTTCCATTCCTTGTTGTCGGTATGCTTAGGTTAGGTGTTCATTGCTGTTTCCATTTACTGTTGTGGGATCTGAGTTTCTGGTTCCTGCCTGTAAAGCTGGCGTCCCTGGAGGAGAAACTCCAAAATAGATGCATTTAGCTTTCATTTGCAAGCTGGTTGTACCTTCTACATAGATGCATTTGTCATCCATCCAGCAGAATTAGAAGTTTCAATGACACCTATTTGCTTTGTAGAGTGTATCCTATTTTTGATGCGCTTCATTTATCCTTATTTTATTTAACAGGGACCATGGAGACATGTCTTCCAAGAAGTACAGGCACGACAAGCGTGTTTATCTTGGAGCACTCAAATTTGTGCCCCACGCTGTGTACAAACTGCTGGAGAACATGCCGATGCCTTGGGAGCAGGTACATAATTTTTCATGTCCTTAGATGTATGTCTAAATAGCTTATCCTTTGTGTTTACGTGTGGCATTCTTTTTGATTAATCCCAGACCCCGCACAGAGCGGGAGCTCCCTTTTTTTATTCTTTTTGATTAATACACACTTGTTTTCAGGTTCGCCATGTGAAAATCTTGTATCATATCACTGGGGCTATCACTTTCGTAAATGAAATCCCATGGGTTGTTGAACCCATATACCTCGCACAGGTAACAATTTACAGACTTTCTCGTATCCTTCTATAACGACATACCCAGCTGCGTTTACATGGTTGCAACTGCTATTCTTTGTGCATCTGTACAATCTGTTGTTTCATGTACATTCTGTCTTCTTTTGTGCTTATAAACCTCTCTGTTTAATGTGCTTTCACAGTGGGGTACAATGTGGATTATGATGCGTCGAGAGAAGAGGGATAGACGTCATTTTAAACGAATGCGCTTTCCTCCATTTGATGATGAGGAGCCCCCACTGGACTATGCTGATAATTTGTTGGATGTTGAACCACTTGAAGCTATACAGTTGGACTTGGATGAGGAGGAAGATGCAGCTGTCTATGAATGGTTCTATGATCACAAACCTCTGATGAAGACAAAACTTATAAACGGCCCCAGTTACAGGAAATGGCATCTATCCCTTCCCATAATGGCAACACTATATCGCCTTTCTGGCCAGCTGTTGTCAGATCTGATTGATAGGAATTATTTCTACCTATTTGATATGGAGTCCTTCTTTACTGCCAAGGCCCTTAATATGTGCATTCCAGGTATTTATGATTGTTTTAAGTTCTGTAAGCTATGGTCACTGTCATGCTTTTGGTCACCTTTGCATTTCAGAGGGGTTAGGACAGAGTTCGTAGGCTTTTGTGGGCTTTGCAGCTTTCAAGTTAATGGTTACACCAAAAGAAAATTCTTTATCACTTGCCGTACTGTGATAAAGCATTTTCTTTTCATTTACTCCCTCCGTCCAAAAATATAAGGCATCTAAGTTCGTCCTAAGTCAAACTATGCTAAGTTTGACCAACTTATGCTTTATAGAGAAGAGTATTAACATCTACCACATCAAAGAGGGATATTATAAAAATTAATATATTTCATAATGTATCCAATCAGGCTAATTTGAAGCCCTACATATTTTTCTTCTTTTCTATAAACTTAGTCAAAGTTAGTATAATTTGACTTAGGATAAAACTGGATTCCTTTTATTTCAGGATTAAGGACAGAGGGAATATGTAGTTTTCATATACTTTGTGAAAATAGGGAATCTCTGCCTACTGTTACTTCTGTATGTCTTGTGCTAATTGTTTTCCCTATCAAGCACTAACTTTAGATCTATGTCTTGTCAGGGGGTCCGAAGTTTGAGCCATTATACCGTGATATGGAGAAGGGTGATGAGGACTGGAATGAGTTTAATGACATAAATAAGCTCATCATACGTCAGCCACTTCGAACTGAGTACAGGATTGCTTTCCCTCACCTATACAACAACAGGCCAAGGAAAGTGAAACTTGGTATCTATCATACCCCCATGATAATGTATATCAAGACTGAAGATCCAGACTTGCCAGCATTCTACTATGATCCTCTGATAAACCCTATCACTTCAACCAACAAGGTTGATCGTCGGGAGAGGAAAGCAGCTGAAGAGGAAGATGATGAAGATTTTTGTCTCCCAGAAGATGTAGAGCCTCTCTTGAAACAGACTGAACTCTACACTGATACAACAGCTGCTGGTATATCATTACTTTTTGCTCCAAAGCCTTTTAACATGAGATCTGGTCGGACACGTCGTGCAGAGGATATTCCTCTTGTATCTGAGTGGTACAAGGAGCATTGGTGAGTGCTAGTTTGATACCTTACAAATTCGTTCGTCATCATTTTTTTTTGTATTTCTACTTGTTGCCTATTACTGCCCAGCTGACTACGTTTTTCTTGACACCTCTTTTCAGCCCTCCAGCTTATCCTGTGAAAGTTCGTGTGAGCTATCAGAAGCTATTGAAGTGTTATGTGCTCAATGAGCTACATCATAGGCCTCCCAAGGCTCAGAAAAAGAAGCATCTGTTCCGTTCACTCCAAGCAACTAAGTTTTTCCAAACTACTGAGCTTGACTGGGCAGAAGCAGGCTTGCAAGTTTGCAAGCAGGGTTACAACATGCTGAACTTGTTGATTCACAGGAAGAATCTTAACTATCTTCATTTAGATTACAATTTCAATTTGAAGCCTGTGAAGACTCTTACAACAAAGGAAAGGAAGAAATCTCGTTTTGGAAATGCATTTCATCTGTGTCGTGAGATTTTACGACTTACAAAGTTGGTTGTTGATGCTAACATACAGTTCCGTCTGGGAAATGTCGATGCCTTCCAGTTGGCAGATGGTCTGCAATATATATTTTCTCATGTTGGGCAGTTAACTGGTATGTATAGGTACAAGTACCGATTGATGAGGCAGATTAGGATGTGCAAAGATCTGAAGCACTTGATATATTACCGTTTCAACACTGGTCCTGTTGGTAAAGGACCTGGTTGTGGGTTTTGGGCTCCAATGTGGAGAGTGTGGCTCTTCTTCCTTCGAGGTATTGTCCCACTATTGGAGCGCTGGTTGGGTAATCTTTTGGCACGGCAGTTTGAGGGTCGTCATTCCAAGGGTGTGGCCAAAACAGTAACAAAGCAACGTGTTGAGTCTCACTTTGATTTAGAACTTCGTGCTGCAGTTATGCATGATGTTCTAGATGCTATGCCTGAAGGCATCAAGCAAAACAAGGCTCGAACTATATTACAGCATCTCAGTGAGGCATGGCGATGCTGGAAGGCAAATATCCCATGGAAAGTCCCTGGTCTGCCTGTGCCTATTGAGAACATGATTCTTCGTTATGTGAAGTCGAAGGCAGACTGGTGGACAAATGTTGCCCACTACAATCGTGAGCGTATCAGGCGTGGTGCTACAGTTGACAAAACTGTTTGTCGGAAAAATCTAGGAAGGTTAACTCGTCTGTGGCTGAAGGCAGAGCAAGAGAGGCAACACAATTACTTGAAAGATGGGCCATATGTAACTCCTGAAGAAGCTGTTGCTATCTATACAACAACTGTTCATTGGCTGGAATCAAGAAAGTTCTCGCCAATTCCTTTTCCGCCGTTGTCATACAAGCATGACACTAAACTTCTTATACTTGCACTGGAAAGGTTGAAGGAGTCATACAGTGTAGCAGTTAGATTGAACCAACTGCAACGAGAGGAGCTTGGGTTGATTGAACAAGCGTATGATAATCCACATGAAGCACTGTCAAGGATAAAAAGGCATCTCCTTACTCAGCGAGCTTTCAAAGAAGTCGGTATAGAATTCATGGACCTGTACAGCTACTTGATTCCGGTATATGAAATTGAACCTCTTGAAAAGATCACTGATGCATACCTTGACCAGTACCTGTGGTACGAGGGGGACAAACGACACCTCTTCCCAAATTGGGTTAAGCCTGCTGATTCAGAACCACCACCTCTTCTTGTTTATAAATGGTGCCAGGGCATAAATAATTTACTGGATATATGGGACACAAGTGATGGACAGTGTGTTGTGATGCTCCAGACAAAATTTGAGAAGTTCTTTGAAAAAATTGATCTGACTCTGTTGAACAGGCTTCTGCGGTTGGTCTTGGATCATAACATAGCTGACTATGTCACTGCAAAGAACAATGTAGTGTTGTCTTACAAGGACATGAGTCACACAAATTCGTATGGTCTCATTCGAGGGCTTCAATTTGCATCTTTTGTTGTTCAGTATTATGGCCTTGTGCTGGATCTCCTGATTCTTGGTCTAACTCGTGCAAGTGAGATTGCTGGGCCACCTCAAATGCCAAATGAGTTCCTTACATATGCTGACACAAAAGTTGAGACAAGGCATCCCATCAGATTGTATTCTCGATATATTGACAAGGTGCATATATTGTTCCGGTTCACCCATGAGGAAGCACGAGATCTAATTCAGCGTTACTTGACAGAACATCCTGATCCTAACAATGAGAACATGGTTGGTTACAATAACAAGAAATGTTGGCCCAGAGATGCAAGAATGAGGCTTATGAAACATGATGTGAATCTTGGAAGAAGTGTGTTCTGGGATATGAAGAACCGCCTTCCAAGGAGCATTACAACTTTAGAATGGGAGAATAGCTTTGTCTCTGTTTACAGCAAGGACAATCCAAACCTGCTTTTTAGCATGTGTGGCTTTGAAGTCCGGATACTGCCAAAGATACGAATGACTCAGGAGGCGTTCAGCAACACTAAAGATGGAGTATGGAATTTGCAGAATGAACAGACAAAAGAAAGGACAGCAATTGCCTTCCTGAGGGTTGATGATGAACATATGAAAGTGTTCGAGAACCGTGTCCGGCAGATTCTAATGTCATCAGGGTCAACAACATTCACGAAGATAGTCAATAAGTGGAATACGGCTCTCATTGGCCTTATGACATATTTTCGTGAAGCAACTGTCCATACCCAGGAGCTTTTGGATTTGCTAGTCAAATGTGAAAACAAGATCCAGACTCGTATAAAGATTGGCCTGAATTCAAAGATGCCTAGCAGGTTTCCTCCAGTTATCTTCTATACTCCCAAGGAGATTGGAGGTCTTGGAATGTTATCAATGGGCCATATTCTTATACCACAGAGCGATCTTAGGTATAGCAAGCAGACAGATGTTGGTGTAACACATTTTAGAAGTGGTATGAGCCATGAAGAGGACCAGCTTATTCCGAACTTGTACCGCTACATCCAGCCATGGGAGAGTGAGTTTATTGATTCACAGCGTGTTTGGGCTGAGTATGCTTTGAAGAGGCAGGAAGCACAATCACAGAACAGACGATTAACTCTTGAGGATCTTGAGGATTCATGGGATCGAGGTATACCTCGTATCAACACTCTTTTCCAAAAAGACCGCCATACGCTGGCCTATGACAAAGGATGGAGAGTGAGAACGGATTTTAAGCAATATCAAGTGCTGAAACAGAACCCATTCTGGTGGACACATCAGCGGCATGATGGGAAGCTTTGGAATCTAAATAACTACAGAACTGATGTCATTCAAGCACTTGGTGGTGTAGAAGGCATCCTGGAGCATACATTATTTAAAGGGACTTATTTCCCTACTTGGGAGGGTCTGTTTTGGGAGAAGGCATCAGGTTTCGAAGAGTCAATGAAATACAAGAAGCTGACAAATGCACAGCGTTCTGGTCTCAATCAAATCCCTAATCGAAGATTTACCCTGTGGTGGTCACCAACCATCAATCGTGCAAATGTGTATGTTGGTTTCCAGGTCCAGCTAGATCTTACGGGGATATTCATGCATGGGAAAATCCCGACATTGAAGATTTCTCTGATCCAGATCTTCCGTGCACATCTGTGGCAAAAGATCCATGAAAGTGTTGTTATGGATCTTTGCCAAGTTTTAGACCAGGAGTTGGATGCACTTGAGATTGAGACTGTGCAGAAGGAGACAATACATCCCAGGAAGAGTTACAAGATGAACAGCTCCTGTGCAGATGTCCTTCTGTTTGCTGCACACAGATGGACGATGTCCAAACCAAGCTTAGTTTCTGAGTCGAAGGATCTCTTTGATCAGAAAGCAAGTAACAAGTACTGGATTGATGTGCAACTGCGTTGGGGAGACTATGATTCACATGACATAGAACGTTATACAAGAGCCAAGTTCATGGATTACACAACAGACAATATGTCCATATACCCATCGCCAACTGGTATGTTTCTGAATATCCATGAACTTCCATTTTCTTATCCTTTTTACTTGTTTGATTCGAATTGAATATAGCTAATGCTCATTGACATCTGTTGCAGGTGTGATGATTGGAATCGATCTAGCTTATAATTTGCACTCTGCTTTTGGCAACTGGTTTCCCGGATCAAAGCCACTACTTCAGCAGGCAATGAACAAGATCATGAAGGTATATAATGATGTTAAAATCTCTCTCTTTCTTTATGACCACACTATTGTAATCGATGTCCAATTTTAATAATATTCTTGATCTTTCTTTTTCAGTCAAATCCTGCTCTGTATGTCCTGAGGGAGAGAATAAGGAAGGGTCTGCAGTTGTACTCTTCTGAACCCACTGAACCATACCTGTCTTCACAGAACTATGGAGAGATATTCAGCAATCAAATCATATGGTTTGTGGATGATACAAATGTGTATCGAGTCACTATTCACAAAACATTTGAGGGTAACTTGACCACCAAACCAATCAATGGTGCTATTTTCATTTTCAATCCAAGAACGGGTCAACTTTTTCTTAAGGTTTGTTCTTTTCGAATTTCTGCTCTAGTTATCATGTGATTTTGGTTTTCCTGTAAAGCCCTGAACATGGTAGGTTTAAACTGAGTATGGATCATAATGTGCAGGTTATCCACACAAGTGTATGGGCAGGGCAAAAACGTCTTGGGCAGCTGGCCAAGTGGAAAACAGCTGAGGAGGTTGCTGCATTAGTTCGATCTCTTCCTGTCGAAGAGCAGCCAAAGCAAATTATTGTGACAAGGAAGGGCATGTTGGATCCCTTGGAGGTCCATCTACTTGACTTCCCTAACATTGTTATCAAGGGCAGCGAGCTGCAGCTTCCTTTCCAGGCTTGCTTGAAGATTGAGAAGTTTGGTGATCTTATACTGAAGGCAACTGAACCACAGATGGTTCTTTATAATATATATGATGATTGGTTGAAAAGTATCTCATCATACACAGCATTCTCTCGCATTGTGCTTATTCTACGTGCACTTCATGTGAATAATGAGAAGGCAAAGATGTTGCTCAAACCTGACAAAACAATTGTTACTGAACCACATCATATATGGCCAACTCTGAATGATGAACAGTGGTTGAAGGTTGAGTGTGCACTAAGGGACCTCATTCTTTCTGATTATGCAAAGAAAAACAATGTTAATACTTCTGCACTCACACAATCTGAAATGCGAGATATCATCCTTGGTGCTGAAATTGCTCCACCATCACAGCAGAGGCAACAGATTGCTGAAATTGAGAAACAGGTAAAGCATAAATACTTGCACCTGTGTTTTTGTTTTCAGAGATACTTTTGTCAGTTCGCTCAGTCTTGATTTTTACCTTGTTTTTGCAGTCAAGAGAGACGACTCAGTTAACTGCTGTAACCACAAGGACGACAAATGTTCACGGAGATGAACTCATTATCACAACCACAAGTCCATACGAGCAACAAGCATTCGCATCAAAGACTGATTGGCGTGTCAGAGCCATCTCTGCCACAAACTTGTATCTTCGTGTAAATCACATTTATGTCAATTCTGATGATATAAAGGTCAGTATAGTGATTGCATCTCTCTCACTCCAGTAAGTTCACATTATAAATGTTGAAATGGTTACTGACTGGCATTCACTCTGATTGCAGGAGACTGGCTATACTTACATTATGCCGAAGAACATATTGAAGAAGTTCATATGCATAGCAGATCTGCGGACACAAATTGCTGGATTCTTGTATGGGCTGAGTCCACAGGACAATCCTCAAGTTAAAGAGATTAGGTGTATAGCCATTCCTCCGCAGCATGGAACACACCAGATGGTGACTCTGCCAGCAAATCTTCCTGAGCATGAGTTTCTTAATGATCTCGAACCCTTGGGATGGATGCATACACAGCCAAATGAAGCTCCACAGCTATCGCCACAGGTTTGAAGTCTATTTAGCATTTTTTTTAGTTTCTTTCTGGCTTCTTATGGACCAAATTCATGGGACTAACTGCATTGTACTTGCAGGACCTGACATCACATGCCAAGATTCTGGAGAACAACAAACAATGGGATGGTGAGAAGTGCATCATTCTGACATGCAGCTTCACCCCAGGATCTTGCTCGTTGACTGCATACAAGTTGACACCAAGCGGTTATGAGTGGGGACGCAGCAACAAGGACAACGGAAGCAACCCGCATGGATACCTCCCAACTCATTACGAGAAGGTCCAGATGCTTCTGAGCGACCGCTTCCTTGGTTTCTACATGGTACGTATTTGTTCCAACATTTTGCAAACCTTTCTCTTGGGTGTTTAGTTGTTTGGCTGATTAACTCTTACATTCACTTCGATGTTTTTGTTCGAACCAGATTCCGGATAACGCCCCTTGGAACTTCAACTTCATGGGAGTGAAGCACGACCCACAGATGAAGTACAACATGAAGCTGGGCATGCCCCGGGACTTCTATCACGAGGACCACAGGCCGACACACTTCCTTGAGTTCAGCAACATCGAGGAGGGAGAGGTCGCTGAAGGTGATAGGGAGGACACATTCACATAGGCGCCTGTTAGAAACTTCTATCTCAAACACACTTAGCTCTGTTTTGAACTGCTAGCTCTGTTTTGAACGACAATGTGTGAAGCTGTTACCTGACTCGACGGGTTTCATCTGTTGTTCGCCTGTTGCTTAAGCCTGTATTATACTACCTTTTTGTTGTAAGACAGCCCTGTAGAGGGGTTAAAATTGTACAAGTGCACGCCATGGTAACAGTAAAGATTTTGCTTAGTAGCTATGTTATTCAAAGACTCTGTTTCATCCCAAACATCCACGTTCTAGCGGCTTAATAATAAATTGATAGTTGCATTAATGGCTTGAGCTTTGTGCTTTCTGTGGTCTTGCCAAACTTCAACGTTCGAGCCTTTCAGGCTTCCATTGAGCAATAGCGTGGTGATTGCTCCGTTTCTCTGGCCACAGGAGCGTCTTCATGCATTCTGGGAATCTTCCATTAGAACTACTCTTTTCTGGAGCTCGTTTTCTGGTTTTCTAGCCTGCTGGGCGGCGGTCTGTTTTAGGCTTGCAGCCCGTGATACGTGCCGCCGTTAGGAGTGGTCACTGTCAGAACCCAGAGTCCAACCAGCGTTCACGGCATGGCAAGAGATAGCTTCTGCTGCTCGGGTTCATCTCGACGTTCTGTTCTGGCCTCCATGGAACCAGTAGAAGTTCTGGTGGGGACTCTTTGTACTCAAATAACTTGGACGTTTCCTACTTTCAGCACCCTCACAACTGAAAACAGACGGTGGATATACTACTCCGTACTGATTCCTGAACTACTACTGTCTGATTTAGCATGAAGAGTTGAAACACTTGAAATACCCTTCCCATTTGATTCAAAATATTTACTGTCTGGAGGCGGTTTGAACTGGCCTTTTAGTTTCAGAACTTGCAGATAGGTGAAAGCATGAAGGGGAATAATGCCTTAAAAATTTTGCACAGACTACCTAATTTTTGTTTTAATTTCTTTTGAGATGAGGAAGTGCACCGTTGATATTAGGCAACGCAGATTTATAAGCTACAGCGCGTGGACTCCCTAAAGATGGAATCGGAACTGTGACACGAGCACAGGACACGAGATGAGTCGATGACATCATCAACCGTCTTGGTCGCTTGGTCGTATTTAGCTTATAAGCCATAGCTTATCAACCAACGAACATTATTTTTCTCTTACATCAAACCAGCCAACAGTCATGACTTATAAGCCAAACCAGCCCAAACGAACATGGCATAGCCGTTGGTGGCGTCGCCGTAGCCTCAGCACGCCGGCGCCCGACGAAACCCTCGTTCCCTTGCTAACACCAGCGGACCCACTCGTGGTAGACGCCGGTGAGCATGGTGAGCGCGTGCGGCCGCCGGGCCGGGTGAAGTAGCTCTCCTTGGTCCTTGCTGATCCTGACGCCCGGGCTCGTGATGCCGCCGCGATGGGTCTCGCCAGTCGCCACGCCCAACGGCCCAACTGAGTTCGCGGCAGCAGCCAAGGCGTATTCGCCAGCTGGCGACTGAGGGAGGCGCCAGCTGGCCGCCTCGTATCCGGGCCCAGCAGTGGCCCCACATGTCGGTGAAAGGAGGCACGAGCGCAACCGACCTGCGCTCGCGAGTCCCAGACTCCAGAAGCCACGCCTTGAACTTGAAATACCCCACCTCCGCCTTTTCGTGGCGCCCAAACCCAAACGTAACCGTCCCATCCCAACGAACACCTGCTCTCGCCTCCATATCCCAATTCCCTCCGGAAATGCAGGCCACCGCCGGTCGTCAGCAGTTGCCGCCGGTCTCCGCGATGGACCTCTTCCCCGACGGGGCCTTCGTGCGGCTGCGGAACCGCGCGCAGGAGACGTACCTCCACGCCGACGACGACGGGGAGGGGGTCTCCGTGCGCCCGCACGGCGGCGTCTTCTCCCTGAACGCGGTGTGGCGGGTGCACCGCGTCGAGGTCTACGGGGCCACCTTCGTCCTCCTCCAGGGCGCCGCCTACGGCCGCTACCTCGCGATCTCGCCCGCCGCGGCGCCGCCCGGCCACCGCGGCAACCGCGCTGTCCAGCGCGACTACGAAGGGGCCGACGTGGGCGCCCTCATGTGGAGGCCCTTCAGGGTGGTCGACGACGCGAGATACGTCCGCCTGCGCCAGGACTTCAACCGCAACCTCCGCGCCAACGGCAGGTTCCGCTTCTGGCACACCGCCGTCACCGTCGATACCAACGAAGGCAGGTGGAGCACGATGATGCAGTGGACGGTCGGCAGATTCCAGCTGGGACCGGGGCTGCCACCCCTTCCACGTCCGACTGCGGTGAGTTCGCTATCCTTTCTCCTTGGAAGTTGGAACCCCTCGCCTCCTCGCCTTGATTCCGTGAACGGGTCACTTGGAAGTTGGAACGGGTTTCTTCGTAGCGTCAATTTTCGCAACAACTGCACAGTCTGATTGTTGCGTTCTCCTGGGCGCTATCCTTCCGTTTATTTTGATCGAATTCAGCGCTTACTGGAACTGGAACTGTCAATTTCTTTCACAAGAAGATTGAACCTGTTAATCACTTAATTTTTCCTGACGAGTTCACGGTGATGGTTGCTGTCAGTCGCCCGAAAGTTCGATCTGATTCTGTAGCCCACGTTCCTGCTTTACGATTTTCTCTGTCCTTCGTCAATCTGGATCTGATCATGATATCTGGAAAGTCCAGTCAAGGTCACCATTGGAGTTCTTTGTCATGACGTGTACTTGAATGATTTGAGCTCTTTGGTGGAGGTCATTTCTTGCCAGATCACATGAATTGGGGTCATTTTGATTTCTGAACATTTCGTTCTGTTAACTGGAGCTATTTGGTCTCTGAACATTTATTTCGTTCTATCTAATTGTGTATTCAGACTTGTTTATTCAGTTACCAGCACCGCTGTTGTCTAGCTGTTTGATTTTTCCTGAACACAAAATGTTACGTTTCTACAGAATCTAGGAGGCCGCAGTGACCTGTTCCGGCGGCGCAGGCCCGAGGCGGATGAACGGCGGACGATCCGGCACGTGCGGGCGAACGACGAAGGGGAGTTCGACCAGAACTATAATAACTGGCCCACCTTCCATTTCTACGGCCGCTCCGTGTTCAACCTGAGGATGCAGGTGGGGATACGCCAGCCTGGCGGGGAATACGGGGACGGCATCACACTGGCCGTGCAGCCCGGCTTGCAAGGGCGGCTAACCCCTCTGGTCACCGACTTGCCTCGCAGCGTAGATACCATGGACATCGTCGTCTTCAACACCGGATCACAAGGTGAGAAACTCTGCAGTTCTCTCAGTGGTCTGTGCAGCACTTGTCATCTGTTGATCTTACCGTTTCAGCTTGTGCGATGTTTAAAGTTTTTAGCAAGCTAAGTAATGGCAGTGTGACATGCACAGTTTGTAACATTGTCTGTAGATCACGGTAGTTCTGTAATCTGCAGTTCAGAATTTGCTATGCAAAGAGATCAGTAAAAGTATCTGCATGATATATTTTGAGTGGGTCGTAAAATTGTACTGACAACAGGAAATGTAACTTGCCTGTTATTTCCATAGCCCAGATGTTCAGAGAAATTATTTAGTTTTGAATAGTTGGTGTATTTAGTATCCTTCTTGGTTTTTTGGCCTTTTTGCATTTTAGCCAACTTGTGCTTCAGGTAATGGTTTACTTCTTTTGGCTTGGATTAATCTAAAGCAGGTTGTAGACAAGCAGATGCATTCTAGTGAAATAGTCTCAGACTCTCAGGTCTGTAATATTCAAAGTGACATGAAGGACTTAGGAGTCATTTGACAAAACCTTAATTTGATCCGGTTCTTAAATTGTAGGATTTCATTTCTCAGGTCAGTAGTATTCATAGTGGCACTTTGGACTTATGAGTCCTTTGACAGATTCTCAATCCCCGTTCAGATGATTCAATCCTTCCACTTGTTAGCCAATAGTGTTATCTGTTGTTCTTGGAACTGATTGTCTACTGTTTTTTTATTTTTGTTCAGTGTTGATTACTTCTCTCTTATGGAACACTGATGACACGCTGCCTAATTATCTCATTATTTTTCTTGTTCCCTTCGTATTCAGGTGCTCATAATTTAGTGTACCCAGATATAGCGTAGAGGACTACGAGAGCAGAAATTCTGACAACTTCGCAAATCATCTCTTCGGCAATCAAAAGCATTTAAGCATTGGTGTCCCCGAGACAGTGATATGAGAATTGGCTGTCGTCTTTTGTTAAGATAGTTTCTGAAAATTCAGCAACTCTTTCTGTAATGGTGGTTAGATTTGATGCGTTCTACTGCCTGGGAGTAGTTTGAATTGACCTCTCAAGTTCAGTACTTAAAAACTGTCGAAAGCATTATATGGAAGTAAATGATGAATGGTTCTGCGAAGTAATATTGATTGTAGTTATCGCATCTTCATCTCTGTTGCGTGATGGATTGATGGAAAGAATAGATGCTGCTGATTTTGTCTGTACCTTGCTCCTGAGTATACACATAAAAAAATAGAGTCCATGTTTGTTGAAAATCATGTTTACTTACGTCATTTTTGTGCTAATGATAAAGCTAAAAACAGAACTTCTTTCTATTCGTTTCTTGATATTTTCAGCAAAGGAGTGTAAGTTTAGGTTGGAGAAAGGCCACTCCATTGTGGGTCTTTAAAACGATCCTCCCAGTTTTGCTGCCTTTGCGCATCACAAGATGTATTTCTCATCCCCTTGCTTGTTTTTGCGAGTCATTTGTTCAGCAGGGCCTGGTACCTAAAACAGCTGTTAGTCGCAACTTTTATTTGTTTGATTGATCTCGCAAACTTGTTAGTGGATAGGCCTGAATGCCTTGCATGATGGTGCTGAACAGCTGTTCCAGCGTCTGCACTTCGTTGTGAAAGACTCGCCGGCATCTTTTGTTTATACTGCTGCTACTGACGAGCTTGGCTGTGAGCTGAATGGATCGCATCATCGGAGGACCCTTCCAAAAATTGATCAATGAATGGTAGGCCTGACTGGTAAAACCGTAACGACTAATAAACAGGGAAGAATTTCAAAACGAACAGAATACCAAATGCACAAAGCATGAACTGCTGCCGCTCAAAACATTTCACTGATGGAAACGGAAAGTGAGCATGCCCAGAAAAGCGCGATCACAAAAGGTTCATCATTGGCAGAACGATAGACTTGCGGGCACCAAACATTGTAAGACCGGCAATACCAATTTCACTAGATTGGGTGTAGTTTGGGAAGACCATGCAGAGTTGTCTGCTGAAAGTCTCTGATGCAACTCTAGTTTCAGTATCCTCGCTACTGAACGAACGGCCGCATATGAACAAGAAAAGGTAAAAGATATTCAGAACTGATGTATGTATTCCTTGTGACAGTTTTGATTCGATCATGTGCATCTTGCAACCTTCTCGCAGCAAAAAAGTCGGATTCATTCATTCATTGCCCTAAAAGAGGCAACAATCGAGAAACTGAACTCAGTCGTAGGTGCCTCGGCACTGGCTGGAGCACGACACCTGCAATCGCTTATCTCGCGAGAATAGTTTTTTTTTTTTTAAAAAAAAATCCTCATCTGAAAATTTTCTGTAAAAACTTAAAACTGTGCTTCTGTTTCCATGAAATAAGCACAGTCTCGTGCTTGCTTTTTTTTTTTAAGTTTTAAAAAAGATGTGTTTCTTACACATAACATAACTACTCAAAAAGAAAAAAAAATGATTCAGTCGTGTGAGTCAATTGCACAAGAGCAGACATAGCACATTGCTGTTCCAATGATCTACAGTCTGCTGGTAGCAAACAAGCAACGGCCCAACTCGGCAACAAGCTCAATCAACCAACCAATAGAGCATTGGTGGTTAGGAAACCAAAACAACCCCCCCCTGGAGATAGAATCGCCATGTTTCTTTCTGGAGAATCGACCGACGAAGAACCGTGCTCCAGGAGTTAGAGGAAATAGCGAGCTCGCCCGAACTGGATCTGGAAGGACTGGCGGCTCCTGTCTCGGGGTGACGGGCCCAAAGACCCAGCGCATCATCGTGCTTTGGTTGTTGGAGTCCAGGCCAAGTCACCGACGGAGGCGCCGGTGTTCCAGTGCCGGTACCTGCTGTTGGTGCAGAGGTTGCAGAGTGACGCTATGGCGGACGTAGTCGTTGTCCTCCCCCTCCCCCGGCCTGACACGGCCTGCCTGCTAGATGACGTTGCTCTGCTACGCGTGCTGGACGGTGCGGTGGCCCGGCGGCGCGGCTCATGCGAGTTACCTCCAGTCACATGTCTACGTGTACCATTACACTATATGCTAAGGAAGAAAAGGTTCTTAGCTCGATGAGATTCTCACAAAACCTAGCCTTTTTTTTTCATCACACTCAACCTCTTCACCCATCTCTACGGATGAATTAAAATTATACTAGCTCCTTCCAGAAAAACATTCCTTTGATAGCCTCCAACCATTATGTATCAAAAAAAACATATAAAAATTCGTGTTCGTTAAAATCAAGACTAATAAAACACCAGACTCATCCGACGGCTAGTCTTCTCACACCCGCGCCAGGCTTCTCACACCTACGCGGCGTTCGCAACTCACGACCCAGGATCGAATCCCCAGAAAAACGAAAAAAGCTTTCTTCGGAAAAATATTTTCTTCTTCGCAGCGGCCGCTCGCCCTGACGCGCTCTGCCAAACTGCCGTCGCGCCGCCGCACGCTGCTGTACGAGGACGGGTTCATCAGCCTCGGAGGAGCTCGCCGCACGCTGGAGGCTAGGGATCGTCGGTGAGGAGACGACGGCCGAGCAGTGTGCATAGATCGTCGTGGCGGTGGACCGAGACGGCGACGGGGTCATCTCCTTCGACGAGTTCAAGGGCATGGTGGCCACCGAGCCGGCGGCGTGAGCCATATAGGCGCCTACACCACACGTACGTGTTTGTTTTCTTTTCCTCCAAAAAACGCGTACGTTTTCATCTCCGATTGTTCGTCGACATGATGCACGTACGCCGCTACTATGGAACCATAATCAGCGGATGTGAAATACTAAGGGAAATCCATTATTTAGGGTTTCACGTTCTACACATCAACTGGACTTCAACTGTGGCGCTGCGTCGTTGAGGGTTGTAGCTGCAGTGGCCGACCGGCTTGTCCCCACGCTCGGCCGGTGGCCTGTGGCCAGCCGGAGCGGCGGCGGCCAGGCGGACAGCCGGTGCCCGCGCCTAGGCCCCTTGCTCGCTCGCCCGACGGCGGCCCGCGGCGGCGGCCTAGATCTGCCACCCGCCGCAGCCGGTGCTGCGTCACTCAATCCGTGCGACGAGGAGATTGGGGTGGAGGACGAGGAGGAGACCCACTTCCGTGCGGCTGCCGCTGAGTACCGCGCACTCGTCTTCTGCTGCAGCACCACCCTCGCGCTGCTCGGATTCAAACTGCACCTGTCCACCGCTCCGGCACGCGCCGCACCGCCGACCCGTTGCCGATCGATGTGTTACGGTAAGCAATGCGTGCCCTCCCAATTCCTAAGCTCCATCTCTCTCTGTACGTGTGTTTGGTTCATGCGATGGATCCGATTGATCTGGTTCATGCTGATGGATCAAATTCTCTGTTTCGCATGATGCAGTCCCATCACAAGGTCAAACTATTTTAATTTTGTGCTAGGGTGCTTGTTGTTTCGTAAATTTGCATCACTACATGCATTGACACATGCAAATTAATTTGGGTCTGTAACCAAACATTGCATCAAGCCAGAAACACAAACAACTATTTTCTAAGCTGAGCACAAACTTGCTGAACAAATGTCTGAATCATTAATTTTATTCTTAATTTCTTAATTCGATCATATATTGTTTGGTTTAATTTCTTCTATTTTTGAGATGTTGCTGAGGCCGAGACTGAATCCATCAGCCACCGCCCACCGACATCAAGATTGCGCTCCAGTGGATATGCCGCTACATGGATGCTGATGTGCTTTTGTGCTTCATGGCCGCACACCACCGGGAACTCACCATGGTCCGGAGGGAGGCCAGCCTCGCCATCGTCATGACCGTCAACCCGTCCCGCCTTGTCCTCGACCTGGTAAGCGATTTCTTAGCCGCTAGCAGTGGCGTCGGCGAGGACCTGCTTTTCCTTGTAACAAATCCTTTCTGTTCTCAAATATAACCGTTTGATACTAGGTAATGCAAATGCCACACTGATCTTGTAATTCTCACGACACTTGAAAAATTTATCTCGGAATGTTTGGTTATTTCCTGAACATCTGCTTCAGTTTAATGAACTCTTATGAAATTCTTGTGCTCCGAATGGATCCTTAGGCAGAAGTCTAGATAATGTCCATGCTGCTTGCTGCATGCACAGATTGTTTGGGGTTATGGTAGTGACTCAGTTTGCTAGAAATTACCCTTATAAATTATGTGTTTTTCTAAGATCCAAGTAAGATGTGTGACACAAAGGTTAACTAACATGTTGCACGAGAGTGGTACTTCCTGTTTTTGTCCACACATCATGAATTTTCATTGCACTACCTGCTTAAAGGTCCGATTATACTGTTTTCACGTGTGGAATTACAAACTGAGCCCACTAGATATGTTTTAACACTAACTACTAAATCTGAATGAGACTATGCGGCATTAACGCAAGGCTGATTATTGAATATAGCTGGATGTTCATAACTATTGAGATTTTAAGCTAGAGAGTTTGCAGTGCTGTTCCAGTAATCGATAATTTGTTCTTCCTAGACATGCAGGTTAAAAGAGGAGAGGTGGGGTGCAAGGAAATTTCTATCGGAATGCAGCTCTACTAGACATTGGTAAAATGGTTCCTGTGCAAATGTTCCCTACTTCTATACTCAATGGTGGGTCTCAAACCGTGAATCTACCTACAATCTCTTTTGTGGTGATGAACAGAAGACTAGACTTTGCACAAACCCCTAGATATGTTTCTAAATTTGTTCTTTTTGAGGGGTGTAAATCTGAGTATAGGGTAGTCGGATAGCTAAGAGGTTTTGTCTCTGATCACTCTGCACAGAAAAAAGGTTGTTG